GGTTTCGCACTTAAACGTTTACCCAGATCCCTTCCCGCGATCTTGAGTACTTGAGCTCTAGTTACAGCATAGAAAGATGCATTGGTGAATACTAGAATTGGCGAACACTAGAAGGTTGATGCAAAGTGTTCCACCAAATTGGCGAATATTAGAATTACCGAAATTGGCGAATTCTAGAAGGTTGATGCAAAGTGTTCCACCAGTTTACAGAGAATTTCATTATGGGTGTATTTATGAGACCTATACAAACAAAAAGAGGAGCTGTATCTGCAGAAAAGAATAGAATACGTGGTGTGCACCTTTAGTAAAGGTTGGGATTTTTCCATATCGCACAACGTCCGGCTTGCACAGGAGGCGGCGTTTTTGTTCGCAGGATGCGGCAGTTTTGTAGGCAATCGTTTTGGTTGTTGGGTGATATGCAATCGTTTTGGTTGTTGGGTGATATGGTTGCCGGTCGGCAAGTTGCACCGCATTTACGTTTTCGAAACAGGAAATCAGGAGACCGTCTACGACAATTGATAAAGCTGCCATTCCGTAGACCGTCTACCACAATCGATAAAGCTGCCATTCCGTGTGGGACGGAATTTGCATGTCTCGTTGGAACGAGGGGGAGTGTCCATGGTCCAGAAGTGTGTGTTCAATCGGCGGTGTCAGTCCGTGGTCCAGAAGTGGTTGAACGGAAAGCAGGTGACCACCTACCACAATCAATAAAGCTGCCACTCCATGTGGGATGAAATTCGGATACCACCACAACGTCCGCGGTGTTGCTCACAGCAGCGCAGAATGATTAAGGACCAAAATGGCTGGCGGCGCCCAGTCCTGGCCTGAAGTCAGTTTCTTTTTTTGGGGAGAGCCTTCCCTCTTTTTCGACACGCCTGGTTTTGCTGGGCGATCCCCCCCTGGCCCAGCTGGCCGGGCGATGGCCCAGCCTAGGTATTGTCGTGTCGTCTGCGGGATTGATTATGACCCTTGATTTCAAGTAGGATTGTTGCACTAGGAAGAGATCGGTAGAATGTACGTGGGCCAATCTATAATATATGTCGTCTCTGCCAATCTATAATATATGTCGTCTCTGCCTCGTCTAGCCCCGACGAGTCTTCCTTTAAACACATGGGCTAATGTATCGAGTTCGTTTGGGCGCGGCATGCATTATGACCCTAATCAGATCAGCAGTACGATTGTTGCGTTAGAAGAGAGGGTAGGCTATATGTGACTGTGACTTGTCTAGACCTGCTCTGCCGAACATGGTCTGTTACGTGTTGGTCAGTACCTTCATCCCCCGAATACAACGTACAGCTCATTATAGCTGTATGTTTTTGGTGCATCTTTCAGTCAAAATACAGCTATAATGACCACACATTGTATTTGGGCGAAGACGGTAGGTTAGACTCTGAGCGGGATGTGGTCTGTAGCCTTGTTGCTTCGATGAATTATGCAACCTTTTGTGGTTTCTTACGTACCAGGGAGGCAAAGTTTATTCTGACTCGAAAAGAACTTGTGCTACCGTAACGCACCCTGATAGTGAATGTATGCAAAACCAAATTCCCGGCCAGGTACATCCAAAAATGCGGGTGCTTTGTGCACCCGCATTTTGGATGTACCTGGCCGGGAATTTGGTTTGTGTACATTCACTATCAGGGTGCGTTATGTTCGGGGGAAGAGGGTAGTAGGACATTGTTGATGGCATCTTGCTGTAGTGGTGGTCGCGTATATCGAGGAAAATCCAAGTGGCAGTATAATATAATATTATTATGTATTATATGCTCTTATGGCAGTTTCCTGATGGATTGAGCCGACTGCTTAGGACAGCGCCGAGAGCCCAATCGGCTTGAATTTTTGTTGGAGGATCATCTATTGGCAGACAAGGGTGGTGGTCTCTGTCATGCAAGAGACTGGCTTGTCCGACAGGATGCCGGTAGTGGTGCGGAAGTTGCGTAATGATAATGAGGGTCGGGATAAGTTTAGGTATCACTCTTTGCCTGAAACTGGAAACATACCCTGGACAGATGGCAGCCCTTCGTAAGAACGTGGGCAATGGACATGAATCCTTACGCACTTATAAACTGCACAGGAAATATGTGGCTGCAGAGTAAACACTGTCTCTTATGGACGATAGCACACAGCTTATCGCGGCGAGATTGACTAGCATCTTTTTCAATAGAGATCGCTGGTTTTCTGAGATCCCCGTGGATCTCTACGCTATTGCACAACAAAAAACAATCACTGAACAAATCGATAGTCAACTGGCTAACTAGTAACATTGATCGATGAACCAGGTTGAGTGTGTGCTTGATTCAGCAGGTCGCGTGTGTGAAGCTTCGGTGCGGAGACCTCAACAGCCACTTTGTGTTTTTTTTTTTTTGCGTGAATAACCTTAAACAATAGTGTAGCTGTGATTGGCCGTCCATGCCAACAGCAAGATAACACACATCTTATGGTAATCTGCACCTAGTCATTCCTGGAATTTATCAGCCTGTTCAGTCATGGGAAATACAGTGTCCAGTGAATGGCAGGGGGTTGGAGAGGGGGGGGGGGGGGGGGGGGGGCGGATTGTGGGGGGAGGAATGGATGGTGGAGCTGAAAGGGGTGGGGGTGCGGGCGGATTGCGGGAAGAGGGATGGGTGGTGGAGTTGAAAAAGGGGGGGGGGGGGTAATCTGACTGGCATATTAGTTAGTGTGTAGAGGGGGACGGGAGGGAGAGGAGTAATGGAGAGCATTCCAGGGTGGGAAACGAACAAATGGGTGTGGGTCTTGCATCAGGAGTGAGCAAAATGTTATATCCCCTTAGATGCGGATCGTTGGCATTTGCTCTCTGAGCCAGGCTAACAAGTCGACTGGCAAGCCTTCCTGAGTTTGTTCTGGACTCTCCTTCCGGAGCAAGACCTATCTCTCTCAGTGAAGATGGTGGGCTGTCATGCGTAGGTAATTGCGCATTTGGAGAACCACTCGTCTTCGTGAGGTGATCGCCTGGCGTGTTGGAATGGATAAGGACATAGTTTGTACACTGCAATGACCGCACCGATTTACGATTCACGTTTACGATTTTGTGAGTCATGGAGTCAAGGTGATGGATGAAGGCGTGCTGTGATTAGTATGATGGTTGTTTTCCACGATTTATAGCCATGCAAGAGTGACTGTGCTCTGTAAAGAGCCTGTCATCGGTCTTGGTTTTTAAACTGGCTGGGCATTTGTTATTTGCTGAAAACGACTGTGTTTGGGGACGAGGTGAAGCAAGGACATTCATTGGCAGCTTAAAAAGCTGTATGTACTGATTTTACGTGGTCTTCTTTCTATGGGTTTTGGTTTCAACAATTGATGGAGGAGGCAGGCTTATGGCAAATAGTAGTTGGAATGCCTGCCGTTAGGTGGTAATTGTGGCTACATAGCTCACTGTCTGCCTTTTGCATCGATTGTTAGCATGCTTGTCTGAACACAGCAGTGCAGATGTTGTGGAAGCTGTCGTGTCCGTGAGTGAGATGCGAGCAATATGGATAAATCAATTGAGAAAGAATTTCTAAGCGCAGAATTCAGTATGGCAGGCATCCGCTTATTGCAAATGTCAATGTTTTGGGGCAAATGCGGGGGGGTGGGGCGCG